TCTGATTCGTCCCTAAAAAAGCCAAGGAGTGATCACCGACTCCCCTAGCTCCGTAGTCGATATCCTATTCTTACTGAAGAGCCGGCCGAGTAACGAGTGAGCAGCTCGATACTTTGTCGATTGCACTTCTTCCATCGATAATTGTACCACCTGGTCCGAGGTAATATGAGCCATCTCGAAAACCTGTGAATTAGAGGTATCAAGATTAAGGGGTCGTTTGGATGTGGAAATTTGGAAACGTGGAAATTTGCTTGAATTTCCACATTTTACAAAAGCAAGGAATTGGTTGTGGAAATTGAGTGAAATTCCATGTTTGGGAAATGGTTTATTTATGTGGGAATTGGTGGTATGGAATTTTGAGGAAATACAAGAATGCCCTCTTTGATTTATATATAAGGAGTGGTTCATTACCAACTATTGCTACTATGTTTCTACTAACGACTATTTGCTGCTAGCCTGCTACTAGCTGCTTGTAAGTTGTAACCAACTCTGGTACTATTTAATAACCGCTGCTAACTACAAAATCACATGCCAATTAGTGTGTCAAGTACCCATTAAGACTTTGTCAAAAAAAAGTACCCATTAAGACGAGATACCATTTTATACATTTATCTCCCAAAGAAAGCAAAGATAAAGAGAGCAGCAGAACAATCTTGGAATGAACTATTCCCATCCACCATCTGATCAGAAACAAAGTAATGGAATCAAATAATTGAAACCATAATGCACTACTTCCCACTTCTCTGCTATATATTTGGGCCACAGTTGACTCTGGTTTTTGTAGCAAATCAAGCCATTTCTTTTAGCCTTGGATCATACAGCAACCAGTCGCAGCACTCCCACAGACAAACTGACCATGACCATGACATGATGATGGTGCCATCCCCTGCTGCTAACTGTTATTGCTTCTGCTGCTAACTGCTAATACTGCTACTAATTAGTGATAAGTAGACTTGTGCTGTTGTTTTGTGAATGTCGATCAATTGCAGTGACAGATAGTTCCATGCATGTATTACCTACCTTTTTCACATATCATCACATCAGTTGAGTTTCCAAGCTATTTCCCATAACAAATAGTTCCACACAATTAGCGTCCACAATAATTCCATGCAATTTTGTTCACCCAAAACTACAGATTGAAATCTAGAATCAACAATTAAAACCTAACTTGACTAGCGATGGACCCTAATTAATCGACAAAGAGAAGAGAAAGTACCTGAGGACGGCTATATCTGGCGTCGATCCCGTATAAAAACTTTAGGAATCGCATAGGTGTGGAATGTGGATTACTTGGTGGCGGAAGCAGGTGAGGGAGAGCGAGATCGTGGTAGCGGCGGAGAAGATTACCGAGCTGGTGATTGGAGTTGTTGGGGCGACAGGGGAAGTGAATTCGGAGGCAGCGGCGGAGACGATAGAGCGACTGAGAAAAAGCTTCTCCTTCTCTCGTGGGGTACCACCGAAATCGGATTTCGATTTTCTCTGAGCTTGCCGTTGTTCTTCGTTCCTTGTGGTCGTCGTTGTGGAGCACTTCGTATCAACGAGAGGGAAGAAAGAAGAAGTGGGAAGATAATGGAAGGAAGAAGGAAGGGTCAATTTGGGCAAGAAAATTGCTTCAATCGCAGTAATTGAAATTCCGGGGGGGGGGGGGGGGGGGGGGGGGTGGGGGCCGTAATTCTCATTCCCGCGTCTGTTGTAATTGTGCCAATTCCCACGGCCCAATTTCCATATTTATTTTTTGCTACCAAACATGGAATTTCCAGTCAATTACTGCATAACGTGGGAAAGAGGGCCAATTCCCACGTTCAATTCCCACAGCCAAACGACCCCTAAAATTTATTGCATACGCCTTCAGGTGTGGTAGACGAGGCACATACATGCTTGGTCCAATAACTGTTCCTGGTCGGGGGGACTCATAGAAATATAGTCTATTGTATCACTAAACATTCATTGAGACGTGGATTCATAAGAGGGACCACCGAACAGATTAGGTAGACGAGGGAGAAGGGGAGGGAAGCCCACTGTACCTGAGCGCGGGGTGATCCTTGAGAATGGTTTGTCGTTCGTTGCTCTCGCCGTAAGTCGTACTCTTAGATTAGAGAATACGAGAGCAGCAGGCCTAGGATGGAGAGTCTTATAGGGTAGACAAGATCCGTTACCAGGATTCCCCATTACCGCTCGGTTTGGGGTTTTTCGAATTTGTCGAAAAGAGGGACTCTTATTCTCAAAAAAGATAATCTTTTTCATATTTTGAAAAATCCCAATAATATTGGAGATCGTATCTTGGGGAAATATTCCCCCAACAACCTCACGGCAGTTAGGATTACAGATTCGATTCTCGTCGATGGAGCATTTCCGGTCACCAGGGATATTTGAGAGCGTTTCGTAGGGAAGAGTCTCCGGACCGTACTATAATCACACCGACACGGAGCTCTGGTTGGACGCTTATCGACGGTATCAGTCCATTCATCAAGGGGCCATGTACAATCCAAGCCCTGCAAGGGTACGGATGTACCGCTTTCAGAGGCCGTCCTGATTGCCTTCTCATTAGCAACCAATGGAGCTGTCTTTTCCACCAACCCCTCGATTTTCAATTCTTCCATGGAAGGAATTATAAATCTCCAAGCAACCATTCTTCATAGTCGCCTACGTTTAGTTAATTCGAGAACTTTGTTCTTTGCTAGGACAAGCCTGAGCTTCCGTTTACTATCCCTTTCTTTGGAATAGCATTTATCCATTAAAGTTATGTCATAGCTATGTTGGTAGCCGCGCTGCTGGCGACAGGAAGAGACGCTCTAGAGTTTACCAAAATCTGTCATTAATACTTCTTCTTGTGAGGGTGGATGTTGCTTTTTGCTAGTCATCCAATCTCGAGTGAGACGTTGATTCCTCAAACACCGCATGAAGATTGAAATCATCATTGAGAGCAGAAAACTCTCAATCCATCGCCCAAGGCGAAGGAGAGAGGGGAGAGCGCCCGCATAATCTTTTTTTTCAAAAAAATCAACCCCACACTTTATTAGATTAATCATCAATATTAAAAAAATTAAAATTATTTATGAATCGATGTCTCATAAACACGAATATAATGAATAGAATACACATAATAACATATTAAATATGAGTACTAAAGTTCTAAAGTCTAAAAACTAAACATTGATTCTATTATATTCCTACCAAATTATTATATAATTGCGTATGAACAGTTGAAATATATTTATTTAATAAAAATTATTCATTGATAATATAAGTGATTTTCAAAAACAAAAACTATTTAATCACAAATAATAAAAAATACTGATGTTTTGACAAATATATCAAGGGTTAATACCTTATTTTGGTCCGAACTATACCCATACTTTTTACTTTGACCCGTGGTTTCTGAAATCACTCACCTGACCCGAACTATGCACCATACTTCCTTGTTTGACCCGGCGTGGGTTTTGACCGTCAAATTGGACGGTCAACTCCATAGACCGTTAGTCAAGTGTCATGTCACTTGCCACGTCAGCAAACCCGAAATAAAATATTTGAATTTTGAATTTCTGTAAATATTTTAGTTAATAATAATTATTATAATTTTTGCTATCTAATAACAATAAGCATAATTATTTTATGTTATTTTCTGTAAATTCAAAATCCAAATTTTTTATTTCGGGTTCGCTGACATGGCAAGTTACCTGGCACTTGACTTATGGTCAATGGAGTTGATCGTCCAATATGACGGTCAAAATCCGCGTCATGCCAAACAAGTAAGTATGGTGTATAGTTCGTGTCAGAAGAGCAATTTCAGAAATCACGGACCAAAATAAAAAATTTGAGTATTGTCGACGCCATTACTCGGGAGTAAGTGAAAAGAAAAGAAATACAAAAAATAATGGAAGAAGATGGCGGCTAGAGATAGGGGAGAAGTTAGTTAACTTTGTGTACACCGCTGCTCGGGAGTTGAGTGAAAAGAAAAGAATTACACAAAGAAAAATAATGGAAGAAGGTGATAGCAGGGGACAGAAGAGAAGTTGCAGAGGGGGAGAGGATGTAAATGTATAGTTCTAAACTAGCTTGGTACCCCACCGCTTGGTTGGAATCCTTTATTTTATTATTCAATTATTTTTTTTAAGATGAAAATTTTGTATACATTTAATATTATCATGTAATTCAGGTACATGCAACATATATAACTAATTCATGATTGCATTAAACTATTTTGTTACACATTGTTTAAAGGAATTCTATGATTCTTCAGTCTTCACACTCTAATGTAGGTGTATGACTGCACTTAATATACATATATAAAGTATGGGTTAAAGACACATTTGGTCACTGAGATTACAAAATCGGGACATGTTTAGTCACTAGAAAAAGTTAATATCAAATTTGGTCACTACAATTACTAAAACTGGACGCATTTAGTCACTCGCCGTTAGTCTCCGTCCAACTCCGTTAATGAAGTCCGTTAAGTGCTGATGTGGCAAACAGAATTGCCTAATCAGCCGGATATAACCCAACAAAAATAAAACCCGACCCGCCACGTCATTATAACCCGCCACCTCATTAAAACCAACCCAACCCAACTCATGACCCAACCCTACCCAACCCTTCTTCCTCCTTCCTCCCCAACCCAATTTAGGGTTTTCCCCATCCCACCCCACTCCTCCCGCCTCCCACCTCCTCCGCCGGAGCACTCGACCTTGTCGGAGCCGCATCGGAAACCCAGCTTCCAGCGAGTCGTACAAAGCGGAGTAGTGGTGCAGGGTATCCATGAACCGACCCATAAACCCACGCCGCATCGGAAACCCAGCCTCCGCCTCCTCGACGATTCCCTCCGCCACAGCTACGCCTTCGCCGACTCCCACGCCGCCTACCTCCACTCCCTCCGCTCCTTCTCCCCCGCCCTCCTCTCCTTCCTCCGCACCCACGCCTCCCAAATCGCGGCCGCTCCTCCCTCCAATTCCCAGTCGGAGAACTGCACCTGCGACGGGGACTGTAAGAGCAACAGTAACAACAATTCCTCCTCCGAAGCTCCCTCTCCCAATCGCGAATTCTCCAGCTCCAGCTCTGATTCCGACTCCGACTTCGCTGCGTATCCGAAGTACGATTCGTACGGAGACGGCGGAGGAAGAGTAGCAGGAGGAGGAGGAGAGTTTGCGCCGGTGGCAAGGTCGTGGATAACGTCGTCGCCGCCGCAGCCGAGGTCTTCGTCGGCGTGGGACTTTTTGAATTTCTTCGACGCGACTCCGTACGAGCGGTACGATTTCGTCGAGAAGGAGAAGGGAGAGGAAGGACCGAGCAAAAATCAGGTCAAGGAAGTGAAATCGATTCGGAATCGCCCGGATCCGACTCGGAAGGAAGCAAAATCGACTGCCGGGAAGAAGAATCGGCCGGAGCCGGAGGGGAAGACCAATGTTGAAGCAGAGAAGAAAAAGAAGGATTGTTGTCCGAAACATGGCAATTCTGTCGACGAGAAGGTCGAATCCGGAGAGGAAAAGAAGGAAAGTGCGGCGAAGTTGATGAAAGAACTGCTAAATTGAGTTGGGGGAAAACCCTAAATTGGGTTGGGGAGGAAGGAGGAAGAAGGGTTGGGTAGGGTTGGGTCATGAGTTGGGTTGGGTTGGTTTTAATGAGGTGGCGGGTTATAATGACGTGGCGGGTCGGGTTTTATTTTTGTTGGGTTATATCCGGCTGATTAGGCAATTCTGTTTGCCACATCAGCACTTAACGGACTTCATTAACGGAGTTGGACGGAGACTAACGGCGAGTGACTAAATGCGTCCAGTTTTAGTAATTGTAGTGACCAAATTTGATATTAACTTTTTCTAGTGACTAAACATGTCCCGATTTTGTAATCTCAGTGACCAAATGTGTCTTTAACCCTATAAAGTATAAACTAATTTCTCATTTAACAATTCGAAACTCTAAAACTGATTTTCTAGGCTTATTATTAAGCAATATCAATATGTGCTTATAAGTCAAGACATTCAATATTAATAAAGAAATGTGAATTCTGTACTTAATATATAACATGATTAATTTAAAAAAAAATCAAACAATGTTCATACCAACTAGTATAGATTATGTGCTAATCTGACCTCGTACTAATACTTAGGGTGACAAGATTTTTGTTGGAATAGTTTTCTTACAAAGCCTTGATAAATGATTTTATGTGTAAATTTGTGGCCAAAATGCTCAAATGATAATTTTATATAATATATATCAAAAATTAATTAATTATGTTTGGCTAAACGGTAGCTAAGATACTCAAATTATTCTTGTCTGAAAATGAGTCTAGAGATCATTTGTTCTTTATATGGGTCTGTCAGGTTCTGCAAATTGTATTTACTCATTCGAGAGAAATTATTCACCAAAGGGAGGATGTCATGAAGGACTAAGTGAAGTTATTTTTAAGTTGGATAAGAATTCTTGAAAGATTATTGTAGACAATGATTGTTAGTGACGTATGGAAAGAACTAGAAGGATCTCTGGAAAGTAGTCATTGTAAGAATTAGAACTGGTATGCACGATTCAGTCTATTGTAGAGTTATAGTTCATGGATTGCTCGAAATTTCTACAGGATATATTAGCTAAGACTACCTACGCATGGCTGCTTTCCCAACGGACAAAATAGGCCAATGGCCAGCTATTTTCCAACAACCATATTTTTTCCAATGGTCATTTACTATAATTATTTTATGATGTTTTGTTAAGAAGTGTAGTTTTGTTGAATAGATTATATTTGTAGATTAGCATCTAAGATTTATCATTTGTATTAAAATATGGTTTCTATTTATCATATTTGATTACATAAAATTGCTATTATTCATAAATAAGATATTTATATTATGTCATACACATAATTATTCTTTACGGCAAATTACATCATGTCACTTGTAAAATTCATTCATAACTTTCATCATGTTAAGTTTTAATTTATATTTTTAGAATTTTTTATAAATATTATGACATTTTAGGGTTAATGACATAAATATTATCTTTTTAAAAAAAATTTACCACCAATATGGCGGTTTCAAAACTATTGACATGTATATTGTGTTTTTTTGTAGGGTAACTGCGAGCCTGCCCGAGATTCAGGCGGTGACGTGATTTGAATTTTTTTCAACGAGTCAAAGGCGCTAGCACCTGAGACTAAGGCGGCCTCGCATTCCACTTTTTCTTATCTTCTCCACCCACTCACCTCTCTCACCCGAGAGAAAGGACACCGCAGCAGCAGCGAGAACCCTTGTCTTCCCAGCGTCCATGCCCTTGCGCCGCTGAAACAGGCAGCCTCGCCTCAGACTGAGGCGGTCGCGCTTTAGTCCTGACGAAGACGCCTGAGTCCATAACGCGCCTGCCATCTCCTTCTTCTTCCCTCAAAGCATATCTTGTTTTGGAGAAGATGTCCGACGGCGTGGAAGCAAACGCCGGCGCCGGCAGAGGAAGGGGCAGAGGGCGGCGAGGTCGAGGTCGTGGCGGCGGCGACTGCTACCGAGGTGAGGTTTTTGTCGACGGTGGTCGGATTCTCGTCGCCGGCGAGGTTTTTTTTTAATTTGAGTTTATTTATGTTTTAATTAATTGTTTTTTTTTCAGTTCCTAGGCTTATGGACAGTTATTCAATGAGACCACTACCTACGACAATTGATACAGCTCCGGTGGATCCGGTACTTCGTTGGGGGCACGGTCACCATCGCATTGACTCAGTTTGGGCAAACGAGGTAAGTTTTCAAACTAGTTCTATAGTTTTTTTATTAGCTGAACTGAACTGAAATTAAAATAGAATAGAATTACGATTGAAATATATGTTAAAATTAGAATAAATGTAGATTATATATATAAATATAGATATTAGGTGAACTGAATTTAGAAGTACGCATGAAATTGAATTAATATAGGTTTTGTACACTATAGGTTGGTGATCGACTTTATCATATTCGAGGTACGAGCAATTTAGTCAGATACCATCCACATTATTAGCCGTATCTCGTCAAAATGGGCTTGTTTACGGTTCTCCCATTGGTGCCTCTTACCGGTGATCCGGGTTTGATTACTGCGCTCGAAGGACGTTGGCGACCCGACACATCGACCTTCCACATGCCATTTGGCGAGGTGACGATCACCTAAGAGGATATTGCGACACTGACCGGTCTAGCCATCGACGGTGATGCCATCATAGTAGACATACCATACGAGGACTGGTTGGTTACGTGTCTTCGACTGTTAGGACGGGCACCTACTGATCTTTCCAGCGGTGTCATTAGGATTGCTTGGTTTAGGGAAACTTTTGATCAGCTACCGCCAAATGCATCACCAGAGACTACAGGGCAGTTTGTACGAGCTTATGCTGTCTTGATTAGAGGTGTTTTGTTCCTCGATCGGTGAGGAGGTTTAGTTCATCTGCAGTACCTAATATTGTTGGAGGATTGGCGCAGAGCTGGGAGGTTTGCCTGGGGAGAAGCTGTTCTATCCTACGTGTACCGTGAGATACATAGGTCGGTGCTGCAGATGACGCAGTCCTCTTCACTAGGTGGTGACCTTGGTGGATGGTCCGCCTTACTAATGCTCTAGGGCGCAGATTACCGAGGACGCAGTCCCACGTGGCCTTCGATGGCTTCCGGCCCATACCCGTCAGCATGGCGATTAGTTCTATCCGTACAAGCTGTGGTTTGACGAGAGCACGACATTCGTGGGTAGTATATAACATTTCGTTTTATAGAATAGTTTTCATTGATTTGTTTTCAATTTAGGAGTAATTATGTGACCAATTTTTGTGTGCAGTGGCATCCTTACTTTGATAGAGCCCAAGACTTCAGCGGTACTGTAACCCGATACGACACATTTCGAGCAGTAGTTCCTCTAATATGCTTTTCATCAGCTATGTGGCACCATCCATATCACGTGCTCTGACAGTTTGGCATGATGCAGGACCAGTCTCATCAGCCACATCCTGCGGCTGAGGTTAGGTTTTTCCTTCGTCGGGGCTAGCATGGGCCATCACGTGGGCAACAGTTGATACAGGCAGCCAGCGAGTCGATTGAGTTGTGGAACCGTCGACAGGAGTTCATCGCCCGTATGAGTTATAATGACGCCCATTTAGCCTACCACTCAGAGCATCGAGAGTGGTATCGAGATGCTAGTAGACGTTCAGGCACACGGAGAAGAGCTGCAATGAACGAAGCGATAAGGTTTTTATTAATTCATATTTGTGTTTTAATTGTTTTTAGATGTGTAGAATTTCTGATATTTTAAATTTAATTTTTAGTACGACAGCATGGAGTCCACTGAGTTGGGTTTACGTGATGGAGTTTGAGATGGAGGGATGTCCACTGACCAGATGGAGGAGTCGGCTAACATGTTGGCAGCAGGGGTTACAACTTTAGGTTTCAGTGAGCGCCGGCATCCCAATCCTACGTAACCTATCTTGTACTGCTTAGTCTTTACGTCATATTCTCTGAATTAGATTATCACAAAGTTTCTAATAGTTCACCCTAGATGGAACAGTCAATTGAAAAATTCTACCACCAACGAAATGGACGCCCAAATTATCCTCTACTTTCTCTGATTTCCATCGAATAGCTAGTTCAAATCTTCTAAAATCACTATATGAAAAACAAACTCACTAATTACTAACTAAACAAAATTATTATAGCATTTGAAGAATATAATTAAAAAAATAAATACGTCTCTTACCTATTATTAGCCATCTTCCCAGTATCCAGACAGCAACCAAAGCTTCTCTCGTCTAAAAATTCGTAGATTTTTTTGGTGGTAAAGAACCGAAAAAAAGGTAAGAGTATATATGGTGCTGGAGTTGATGAGGGAGGCAGCGAACCCGCCTCAGCCTCGGGCGCCAATGCTGAGGCGTTAAAATAGGCCCCAACGCCCCAGTCTTGTGTGCCACCGCTGGGATTTATTGAAAAATCAATAACTAGCGGCCGCGCCTCAGTCTCGGACGGGCTCGCTGTTTCCCTACAAGAAAACACAATATACATGTCAATAGTCTTTAAAACTGCCATATTGGTGGTTAAGTTTTTTGAAAAGACTATTTTTGGAATTTATCCGACATTTTACATGCACATGCACGTGAAATCTATTTTTTTTCTTAGGTTGTTGGCCCCATTCTTCGAATCCCGGGTGTGGTGGATGTTCTCATCCCAACATCACCACTAGGCCAACCTCTTGGAGTATGCACAAAAAATCTAAAGTATTTGGATTATATGTAAAAAATAAATCTAAAGTATTTGCTAAAAGAATTTCAATTAATAATATATTTAATCGTTTAAAATATAGGAAAAAATTAAGTCTAGAAATAAAAATGAATTTTGTATAAAAAATGGGGAAAATGGGGAAAGATTCACTTAAAACTACAAAGAAAAGTAGGAAGAAAAAGATAAAGGGTTAAAGACACATTTGGTCACTGAGATTACAAAATCGGGACATGTTTAGTCACTAGAAAAAGTTAATATCAAATTTGGTCACTACAATTACTAAAACTGGACGCATTTAGTCACTCGCCGTTAGTCTCCGTCCAACTCCGTTAATGAAGTCCGTTAAGTGCTGATGTGGCAAACAGAATTGCCTAATCAGCCGGATATAACCCAACAAAAATAAAACCCGACCCGCCACGTCATTATAACCCGCCACCTCATTAAAACCAACCCAACCCAACTCATGACCCAACCCTACCCAACCCTTCTTCCTCCTTCCTCCCCAACCCAATTTAGGGTTTTCTCCATCCCACCCACTCCTCCCGCCTCCCACCTCCTCCGCCGGAGCACTCGACCTTGTCGGAGCCGCATCGGAAACCCAGCTTCCAGCGAGTCGTACAAAGCGGAGTAGTGGTGCAGGGTATCCATGAACCGACCCATAAACCCACGCCGCATCGGAAACCCAGCCTCCGCCTCCTCGACGATTCCCTCCGCCACAGCTACGCCTTCGCCGACTCCCACGCCGCCTACCTCCACTCCCTCCGCTCCTTCTCCCCCGCCCTCCTCTCCTTCCTCCGCACCCACGCCTCCCAAATTGCGGCCGCTCCTCCCTCCAATTCCCAGTCGGAGAACTGCACCTGCGACGGGGACTGTAAGAGCAACAGTAACAACAATTCCTCCTCCGAAGCTCCCTCTCCCAATCGCGAATTCTCCAGCTCCAGCTCTGATTCCGACTCCGACTTCGCTGCGTATCCGAAGTACGATTCATACGGAGACGGCGGAGGAAGAGTAGCAGGAGGAGGAGGAGAGTTTGCGCCGGTGGCAAGGTCGTGGATAACGTCGTCGCCGCCGAAGCCGAGGTCTTCGTCGGCGTGGGACTTTTTGAATTTCTTCGACGCGACTCCGTACGAGCGGTACGATTTCGTCGAGAAGGAGAAGGGAGAGGAAGGACCGAGCAAAAATCAGGTCAAGGAAGTGAAATCGAGTCGGAATCGCCCGGATCCGACTCGGAAGGAAGCAAAATCGACTGCCGGGAAGAAGAATCGGCCGGAGCCGGAGGGGAAGACCAATGTTGAAGCAGAGAAGAAAAAGAAGGATTGTTGTCCGAAACACGGCAATTCTGTCGACGAGAAGGTCGAATCCGGAGAGGAAAAGAAGGAAAGTGCGGCGAAGTTGATGAAAGAACTGCTAAATTGAGTTGGGGGAAAACCCTTAATTGGGTTGGGGAGGAAGGAGGAAGAAGGGTTGTGTAGGGTTGGGTCATGAGTTGGGTTGGGTTGGTTTTAATGAGGTGGCGGGTTATAATGACGTGGCGGGTCGGGTTTTATTTTTGTTGGGTTATATCCGGCTGATTAGGCAATTCTGTTTGCCACATCAGCACTTAACGGACTTCATTAACGGAGTTGGACGGAGACTAACGGCGAGTGACTAAATGCGTCCAGTTTTAGTAATTGTAGTGACCAAATTTGATATTAACTTTTTCTAGTGACTAAACATGTCCCGATTTTGTAATCTCAGTGACCAAATGTGTCTTTAACCCAAAAGATAAAGTCCAAGTTGCGGGAGGCTTTCCGCAAGAAAGCCTTTTTAGTATTTTACTGATTATTATTATTATTATTATTATTATTATTATTATTATTATTATTATTATTATTATTATTATTATATCTTAGCACTCTTCATTTTGTAGGCTTGTCTACTTAGAGTTGTGGAGTTTCCAATTTAGATCTCGTTTCTGCATTTTCTCTGTGAACAAATGCCATTATGAATCGAAAGAAAGCACAATAAGTCTGTGTAAGCTCCACCGATTCCTCATCGTCCCTTTTACCTATCGGAAGTTTTATCTTGGCACATGACAAAGCACAATTGCTTTCCTTCTCAGATTTAGTAGCAACAAGTGAAGAAAGGAAGAAAAGGCAGAGTCTTGAAGTTAGTTTTTGTTGACCACGTTCGCTTTTATTCTCTGTTTGATGGTTCGAGGTAAGTTTTTCAATTTTAGAAGTGGGCGATTCAGATCTATTTTGTGGAATTTCAGATCCGAGCTTGATTGTCATATTGTGGCATTTATGATTTTTGGGAATTTTACCAACTGGATTTTGGAAGCCAGAGGCCTTTGCATCTGTAAAAGAGTGTTGATGATTGTTTAACTCTATTTTGATTGGTGTGATTTATAAGATTGATTTTTCTATGATGAATTTTTTGTTCATTTTTAGCTCTCCACTTTGGGCAATTGGGTTCTAATGATTAATATTCATGGCTTTCCTGCACATTATATTGAATACCCTCTCAAGTCTAATTGTTTGTCTTTAAAAAAATGTGAACTAACTCGTTCCCTCTCTCATCTATATCATTGTCTCGTACCCTTTTTCATATGTTTCTTTAATGTTGAGATTTTATAAACATCATCGGCTTTATTTTTTAAGTTAATTAGCATCCTATAAGTGGTTGAGATTGTTGTTCAGTATTTATGGTCGACTTGATTTGTTTATGATTTTATTGCCATCTTTACTTGGAAGCTTATATTTGTAGAATTTAGTAATGTTTTTCATAATTCAATTTGTGTAGCTTCTATCTTGTCATGAAAATGAGTTTATTCACTAGATAACTTAACACTTTCTAGCTAATGCAAAGCAACTTATTTATGTTCCATCTTGATCAGGGTAATGGGAAGGTGATAGCCACTGAAATCTGTGTAACTGTTCACCATGTTCAAGTCATCACCTCGTAGGAATCAAAGAACAAAAGGTTTCAAAGTAAAGCATGCTTTGCAGTTATGTGTTCTGCTTGGTGTTTGCATCTGGTTGATTTATCAAGTCAAGCATTCTCATGAGAAAAAGGGAGAGTACAAGAACCATGTGAAAACTGGGAGTGATGTACTTAAACTTGGCAGAAAGGATCTTCGTCCAATAGTTGAGGAAACTATCACGAGAGATGAAACACTTAAAGAAGATGAGGAAGAAGATAGCAAGCCAAATGAAAATGTGAGAACAATTAGTGGGGAAGAAGAATCCCACAACCACTTTAGTGACAGGACAGAACAGGGAACTGACCATGGTAGTGGAGAGAAGGAAGATGGGAAGGAGCAGAGTAATGAAGAAACAGAAAATGAAAATAGCCGAGAAGAGATGAAGGAGGACTCCAACGATGATACAAATACCAAAGAGAATGATGATGGTGATTCACTGAATGAAGATGCACAACAAGATGTAAAGGAAGGCAACAAAGAGAATGAAAATGAACATAATTATCAGAGCAGTAGAAGTGTTGGTGAAAAGACCAAGAAAACTCAAGAGTCAAAAGATCACATGAGTGACGAAAATGGAAATATTGAGAAGAGTCTAAAGAAAAAAATTGAGGGGGATGGTGAAGGCAGTAGTGACATGGAAAATAAAGGGCATGGAATAGAACATCACAGTAATGATGATAATAATGGAGAAAATAAGGAGGAAAGAGAGAAGAATTACAATGGAGATGATGTTTCTAGTGCATTGGTCCATCAACATCATATTGTTGTACATGGAGAAAAAGAGCATGGGAAACCAGAGGAGAACGACGAGTCAGAGACCAAAAAGAAAAGTGAGAGCGAGGTGACTGTACAATTAAATGGGAGTCAAGGAGCTGAAGAGAATCAAAATGACCAGCCGAAGACCAAAGAGAAAAACAATAGTGAGGTGAATGAACAAATAAATGGGAGTCAAGGTGTTGACGAAATTGATAATGATGCTCAGAATGACAAAAAAGCTTTTGAAGAGGTAGCAAATAATGGTTCTTCTAGCTCATCAAAAGTAGAAGTGGGAGGTAATGAGACGACCAAACATGAGTCGTCCACAACTGAAGAAACCCAACGAGATCAGGTAGATTCAAACTCAAATTTTGGTCACACATCCTTACATAATGCAGAAGAAAACACTCAGAATCAAGCTGAAACATTCACACAACATGCAGACGTAAATTCTCAGGATCGAGTTGAAATATCATATGGTTCATCATCTGAAGAGGAGAAGGTATCCATGAATAAGGCTCCACCAAAGCAAATAGAAAAATTGGATACATATAACAGCCAACAACCAGATTCAACTATATCAGAGAATGGAGAATCCACTAATCAACAATCAAGTGTAAATGACAACTCATGGGAACAGTATGAAATCCCCAATAACCATGTGCCAAGAATTTGGAACAGTGATGCAATTGGAAGTGAGAAAGATGGTCTATCATCTTCACATATGGATGAAAATGAAGATGTTGGTCAAAAGGAACAAGATGATTCTTTGCAATCCCAAGAGCAATCGACAACCTCAAACACAAATAATGATGCCAAAGCTCACCAAGGTTCTTCGAAATTATTAAACACGAAAGCAAACAGTGCATATAGTAATGGTGCAGACTATAATACTAGTGTGAGGCAAAAAGAGCAGGTCTTATTTGGAAGTGGAGACAGAAACAAGAATAAGGAGAATAATTTTGTGTATAGCCATGTAAAAGAAGACAACAAGTCAAAGAAAGATGGTGTCAGCCACAATGGTGATAAGAATGTTATAGATAGAAACATAGGTGAAAATGACAGCAATGAGAATAAAAATAAAGGTGAAACTCAAACAGAGAAGGTCACTTCTGTGGGCAGTGATGCTAGACAGAACGATGATGACAACGGAAATGGAAACAATGGTGCGGGCGAAGGACAAGAAGTTAACTCGTCTGGGTCTTCGACAGTGAACCAACATGATCATAATGAATCATCATCAGAATCAAATAGTGGCATAGAAGAGATACAGAGTGTCTCAGTTGATTCTTCGAGTTCGTCAGTTTCTCAAGAAGAGAAAGAGGCTCGTACAGATTTGTCGACACTACCGCAAACAAGAAATGAAGATGTAGATATTGCTCATTCAGCAGCTGCCGAATGAAGATCTCAAACTTAGAACCCAAACATCAATAGCAATTTTGCCAAGATTTTGTTTTACCAAATCCCGTCAAATTACCAGTTGAGTTTCTTCGTAATGTTGTACTTTACTTGCCAAGTGTATTCTCTACTTAGTATCATTTTCACCTTTTACATCTAGAACTGGGGCGACAGCTGCACTAGTAATTGAATACTTCTAATTTTATATTTTAGCATCTCGTTGTGTCTTTAGAGATAGCCGTTCAGGTTACAAATTGTCAAATAAAGAAATTTCAGGTAATTCTTAGCCTTGTTCTCCTTACTAAAAATCATCGAGTGTTTTTATATTTCTTAGAACAACAATAAAGGGAGCTACATAGATGGCATGGAGTATTATTTCATAATTAGCCAAAATATGGACAACTAGTTTGCATTCCAATTTAAGCAGTTTCAGCTTTTTGTAGCATTAATGAGCATCAATACACATATAAAACACATCTATTTATGTCCTCAATCCATACATATTTTGATATGAAATATTGTACCATTTATTGACTAAAAGTGCAATTATACGACTACATTCACTATAGAAGTGAGATCTGCACATATCATTGTCCAGTGAGAATAAATAAGAATTGGTGGACAAGAGAGTTATGTGTTTGGCTTTACTAGGGTCTTGATAACACCGTATTTGTACATGTCTTTTTCTGACATTTATTGATCATTTGGCATGGCATTTGATTTCTTTGTGACCCATTTTACGCTAGGTAGTGCTTGCTTTTTATATTTTAGGTCCTAGTACGTGAATGAAGGCTTAGAAGCAAGTGTCTGTGCAATTGGAGAGCAGACGAGATTTGGAGGATGCAAAGTCAAAATCTATGGTCTGGGTAGTCAATTCCACGACCGTGGATTAGGAGTTTAGACCGTGCTTTTTGAGCAGGAAAAATCTCTGGTTGGTGTATGGATTCAATGACCGAGGATTGAAGATGATTGATCGTGGAACTCATCCGAGGTCAATTAACTACGACAAACCATCATGAACTATCACGGTCTGGAACTCAATTCCAAGACCGAGGAATCCACCATCATTGCTAATAAACTGAAACTCATGATTTTGGCTAAGGATTTGGTTTTCCAAGTTCTGTAACAGCAAGTGATCACTTGAATCCTTGCAGGTTATTGTCGGAGGTTAGCATGTATCAACAACTATCTCATCCTAGGCCAAGTTTAACCTAAAACGACATTGACGTATAGTGGTAATCAAGGTCGTATTCTACTCTGGTCCTGGTACCCTATCCTATTTCCCACCTAGTTGCTAATTAGTTAATCGGTTATTGAGTTTTTGAGGGGAGGATATGAGGAAACAGTAGTCTAGAGATTGATCAAAGCTAAAAGAAGGCACTTCAGGGAACTATCCCTCCCCCTAGCTTAGGGACACTGTGCATATATAGATACTTAGGATCATCGAATGTGGTGAGTGAGCTCTTTTCCGTGGTTATCCATACACCTCCGAGTACGCCTCCCCTAAACCCATGTTCCAAACACCTTGATCTAGGATATCGTATCTTGGGCATTAAGATTATGGCTCATTTTAATGGATACTATCCACCATCCACACCGAGGTTTCATCCAAGGTTTCATCTAGGAAGGCTACCTATAGCAGGAGTTCGGTCACCTTGACCACTATAGGCCCCCATTCACATATCTAACCTAAACTCACTAGTTGGTGCATACCCGTCTAACCCTAGAACTCCGTACCCAGCGCAGTAGCATAAAGTAGGCTAAAAGGGAAGATTATGGCAAATTACCCAAGCGTCATCAATTAGGGAAGATTAGGGAAGAAGATACATGGTAGAAATAGAAGAAGACTTGGGGTTGAAGAAGATTCCTCATTGCTCCTAGCTCCTCCTTCTTCTCATTCTCTTCTCCTTCCTTCAGCTTCTCTCTCGTCTCTCTCTAGAATGAGAAAATTTCTCTCAAAATCAGCTCCCTTAAAAAGGGGAAAGGGGTCTTGTATTTATAGGCATTCTGGACTCGGGGAAGTCGCGGTCTGAGGATGGGAGATCGCGGGAAGGATCTTCTGAGGATAGGCCACGATCTCAAGATGACGTTGTCAGGGCCTTTTGAAGGGGGAAGATCGCGAGCTGACTAGTCATGGCGGCAATCTTCTCGCGGGAAAATTCAACGTTGGCCGTGATATGACGGGGGAAACTCTCTGCTTCTCCAAGGCTTCTTCCACACGAAGTTCGCCCCTTGGGCCTCCAAGATCGCGATCGTGATCTTTGGCTTCTGGGCCAATATCTTTAGCTCGTCTTCGCGGCTTGTGATTTCGACCGTGATCTTTGGCTTCTAGGCCACGATCTTCTATTCCTGCCCCTTCTCTACACTTGTGACCTTGTTGTGTACCTAAGTCGCACATATCGACTAATACACCCTAAAATCACATCGAAATCAAATAGAAACGTAATAGGGATGTATTCGACAATGTTTAATAATTTAATGACATGAATTGGAACAAAACATACCTAGATATGCAGGGTAAATAACACCAAGTTTGGTGTTATCAAACTCCCCCACACATAGGCGTTTGCTTGTCCCCAAAAAAACCTACTCAAACTTATGCAATATGATAAACAAATCAATGAGGTATACATGCTAGTTCTTCATTGCATAGATGAGAGTATACATGTATGAATAAACGATACTATCTTCCTACTATGCAAGCATAAACTCTTGTGTGAGGACCATATCTACTACCTTAGGCCGATCATAAAATATGTGCTCTGGGGGATTCTCAGACAACAAGCAACTACTAGAACTATTAGGGGTGCTTTTATTTTTTCTTTTGATGAAGGAGTTGTCGTTTTTCGATCACTTTTCTTTGTTCATGCACATTGCACCAAACCTTTTCAAATTTTTTTCTTTGCATAATAGCATCTCTCCCTCGTGACCAAGAGCGGATGAATCATAGCCTTCCCTTTCAAGGTCACATGTGGGGAATTTGATGGTCGGATTCGTCTTAGCCCAAGCACCATGTCCCAGCCTACACTCCACATTGGGTTGCCACACATTTGGAGTACAAATGAGAGCTATGAAGTCTCATGAATCGCTAAAAGGTACCTTTGGTCGTTAGCATACGATTCCGTGAGGAGGAGAGGTGTTTGGGGGTGGTAAGTATTACGAGATAATCGGAATTCAATAAAGCTATATGAACCCCAAACACATCCTCGAAGGGCACTCCGAGCCAAGAGAACAATCATTTAACGGTTGATCTAAAATCTTTGCCCGGTTGCCACTCACGTGAGAACCTCTTTTCCCTTTCTTAAGCACAAATTGTAAAAGTTCCTAGTTCACACAAAGGATAGAATCCCGCACACAATGCCTTCCTAAAGTAGCAAAATTAACGACTCACAAAAGAGGAAGAAAGTAGTAGAATCCCTCACGTACCTATTCTCACACTATGCACCTATCACCTAAGATGCACCACAAATCTATCAATCTAATCAAGTCAAAGCACATTGAGTAGGTAATTGCAAGGACAAGGTGTTTTGGAACCCTCAAATTTGAAAAAATTTGGTTGTAGCATTCAAGGTTCCAAAAACACTAAAATTTCACCATTCATTACCACAACATAAAAATGATTACTAGCACACACTCCCACAAGCGTTTATCAACATCTTACATTCATAAACGAGAGAAAATGATAACAATCATCGGTTCAACCAATCATGATAGACATTCAAACAAACACAAACATCCCCTCCACACTTGAGCGACACATTGTCCTCAATGTTTGAGTTTCCAAAGAAAAGATCATGAATGTTACCATAAATCGGGTTGTGGGTTGGTGAAGGTTCACAAGTGTAGTCTTTGGTTTCCTTGTGGTTTTGCACAACGATGAAGCGCGTAAGATAGAGAGGAAGACGAATAGAAGTTATAGGTATGATATATAAATATAAAATAAGAAGGTAGGGGATATAAAGTCTTCAAACATAAAAATAAAAAAACCCATGACCTGTTAGCAAAATATAATTGCTAACTTATTTCCAATACCGACACGCTTCTTTAATGTCATAAGTTAGATGAAAGCTCTGCGGATGTCAGGGTTCTGATAGAAGAAGGATTTTTTGGCTTGATCAGACACTCCACTGAGATAAAGTTTGAGTTGATGGCCGTTAACTTTGAATTCCCCTCTTTCAGCATTGGCTATTTGAAAAACTCCGTAGGGAAATACCTTAGTGACCACAAAATTCCCGTACCACCTAGATTCAAGCTTCCCTGGAAACAATCAAAGTCTGGAATTGTAAAGGAGTACTTTGTCACCTTCCTAGAATTCATTTTACTAGCAAAGTCGGGAATCATGAAATTGCTTCGCACGCTCCTTGTAAATCATAGTATTCTCATAAGCTTGAAGTCGCCATTCTTCAAGTTCCATTAGTTGTAGCTTCTGCTCATTTCCCACAAGTGTTTCATCGAAGTTGACGGATTTTATTTCCCAATATGCCTTATGTTCTTTTTCAACCAGAAGGTAACAAGCATTTCAACCAAAAGGTGAGGTGCCAATAGAGGTCTTGTATGCGGTCTGATACGCCTAAAGAGCATCGTCTAGATGGAGGGGCCAATTTGTTCTAGATTGTGAAACAGGCTTTTCAAGAATTCGTTTAAATTCACGGTTGGTCAACTCCGCTTGGCCACTAGTCTGAGGGTGATAAGACATAGAGACTCGATGATGTACACCATACTTGCGTAGTGACTCACCAATACCGTCACACTAGAAAGTGGCCAAGTGTAACCACAAACTAATGCGTAGTATAACGGGTCTAGCTTTACTTGTCAACCTGGGTTCTAGATGTGATGACTACTTCGTGAAGTTCTCGTTATCTAGAAGTTTGAATGTACTTGAGTTGTAACTAATCTAAGCAAACACAAAGCGGTAAGGTTGTGATTCAAGTTAAGAAGGCTCGCTCAGGTATGAGCCTCCCTAGATCGCAGTTAGGCCAAGCTTCAGCCCACCTTGATACATAA